CATTTCATGGCTTGTAAATTTCCACTTTAATTGCTAAAGATTTTAAAGCTATCCCCTGTTAACATGCAAAGAAGTTCCATTCTGCCGATTGTGGGAGAAAATTTCAGTGTTTGTTTTGTTTTAATTTCCACCAGACATTGAGCATGTTAATGCTGAACTTCCTGGATTCAGGGCAGGGCATCTGGCACTGTTATCGGGACAGCAAGAGATTTTTCTTCTGTTACTGAAATTGCCTAGTTGGAATCAGATTAGCTGAGAAGAAGCATCCCCTTAAAGGAGCAAAAGCTCGTTAATGAAAACCTGACAGATTAATGAGGAATTATCAGCACCATCGCATACACAGTTTGGTCTACTATCCGGGAACATGGATTTCACGTGTGGAAGGAATTCAAGATGGGCAAACCTCAAAAGGTTTAGAAGTTGAGTGCTCTATGGACCAACTCCCAAAAATTCAGATGCTTTTCCAGAGTTTATTTAAACCAGTGACATCTGCAAAATTGGGCTAGAAATATGAATTGGTCCCAAACCTAAAAGCCAGGATCCAAACACTTTTGAAGCTTGGGAAAGTTCACATTCAGACCCAAACCTTCTGATCTGGGCTCCCTGAAATGTGGGAAAGTTCAGTTCCAGATGTACATGTTGTGGGTTGGTTCCCTCTTTCCAAGAAGTCTCCCAAATACCTTTTCTGCTTTGGTTGTTTTTGTTTTGCTGTATTTCTGCTCCTTTGTTTTAGGGCCCTTGAAGATGCAGCAAAAATGAAGGAAAGATATCATTTGGTAGGAAGGTTGTAACCCCCTGAACTGTATTTTGGAAAAGTCCTCCTTTGTCTTTGAACCTCCTCCTATTGCACGTAGCGGCTAAGAATACCAGACAAATAATAACATTTTCCTTTTAATGCAGTGATAGGTGTTAATAACATGATGACTGTGTATGATCCCACGTCTGGGCTTTCTACTCAGTGGGACAACAGACATTTGGGGATTCTTATTTTCATAGCAGGGAAACATTTTTCACAGCAAAGAAATAGGCTGATTTATACTTCTATTTCTGACCTGCTGCTTCGAAAATGAATCTCTCTCAAGAGGCACCATGAAGGGTGATCAAATAAGAAAGAGATCAGCTTTGCAGTCTCCGGGCATTCGGTGTTGAGCTAATATATCATTTTAGACACAAGCAAGCATGTCGGATCAGTATCAGAAAGTAGGACAAACATTCCTCTGGTGCAGGATTTTGATTTATTTTCTGAAGACGCACAGACTGCCAGATCTGTATTGTAAGTGAAGGTGATAACAATCAGAGTTCGCTGTTCAGAAGAAGATACACCTGTCTTGTTGAGAGAAAACAGGTCATCACCTATCCCAATAACTGTCTTTAATAAGAAAAAACACACAACCCTCCCCGCATCTATTTCCTTCCTGGGTGTTATGGTTTTGGCTCTCTCCCCCTTTTTACATTTTTCTTTTCTTGTATTGTGCCTTCTTGCCTCTTTCTCCAGGTATCTGATGGGTTTTTCCATCCAATCTCTAGCCTTACTTTTCTTCTCTTATTTTTCCCCTCTGAATTACATTGCTTCCCTGCCACTCGGTGCTTGGTCTCTCTTTATTCATGCATTCTGCTTTCTAGATCTCTCTTTTTCCTTTAGTTGCTGTGTGTCTTTATACCAAATGGCTTTCAAACTTTCAAATTCTCTACTGTGGCTTTATTTAGTTGATTTATTCCTCTCCCTCCATTTGCCGCTTTCCCCCAGCTCTCTATTTTGCATCTCCTCTCCTCTCTACTCGTATCAATCTATAACCACATGCATGCTCATGTGGCCTGGTGGCCTTATCGAACTACACACGGCCCACACATCATTCAAATACACAGGTTTCTACCATTTGGATCTAAATCAGGTCTAAAAATTCCATCCAGAAGAGGGCAGTGATATACACACACCAAGACACAATAGAAAGCCTTGGTGAGGCCCAAACTCCATAGGTCTGAAAGAAAATGTGTTTCCTGGATTCCACAGACTCAGGGGCGGCTCCAGGCACCAGCGCAGCAAGCGCGTGCCGGGGGCGGCCTGCCGGTCGCTGTGAGGGCAGCAGTCAGGAGCCCTTCGCTGGCGTGCCTGCGGGAGGTCCGCCGGTCCCGCAGTTTCGGCGGCAATTCGGCAGCTGGTACGCCGAAGCCATGGGACTGGCAGATCACTCACAGAAACACCGCTGAAGCCGCGTGACCGTGGACCGCCCGCAGGCATGCCGCCGAAGGCCACCTGACTGCCGTGCTTGGGGCGGCAAAAAACATAGAGCTGCCCTTGCATAGACTCATAGATTTTTAGGCCAAAAGGGACCACTGTGATCATGTAATCTGACCTCCTGTATATAACGCAGGCTTTAGGACTCCCCTGAATTAATTCCTGTCTGAACTAGAGTAGATCTTTAAAAAAAAACATCCAATCTTGATTTAAATATTGTCAGTGATGTTGGGATATGCTTCATGAGAATGCAAGAGCCATCAGGGGAATTTTTTCTTCACCTTAGATCTAAGGTTCAGTCTATGGATGGATTGTTTTCTCAATTGACAGTGTTTTTCATAGCAAAAGGAAATTCTAGGCAAATGCTCGCATTTTTACCCTTGAGGGATCATGGAAGAAAACATGGACTTTGTTGATTTCCCCAGTGGTGTCACAACCTACATAGAGCCAGAACACTGCTCTTTTTCTGAGACTTAAAAAAAAAAAAAAGTCATTGAGTGGATGAGTTCTATCATTTTTTTATTAGCCAAAAACCCACACTTCCTAATCCTGTTAGTTATAACCACCATTCTTCTGCCTAATGAGGACAGTGTATTTTAATCACTAGAGTTAATGTCTCCATGTTTATGAATTTTCCATCTCTGGCCACATTAGAAATATTTTTCTTAATGATACTCTGATTGTCCTCAAGTAAGGTATTAAAAGCAGGTGTAAAGCAATTATGTCTCCTAAACTCAATACTTTGAGATTGAAATGACAGTGTCCTATAATATATCTCAAAAGGTTACTGACTAGAAGGCCAAGACCCTGAGAAGAGCAAAATACCTTCAACTTTCGCTGAAATTAAGTTGTAAAAAGCAACAGAGGGTCCTGTGGCACCTTTAAGACTAACAGAAGTGTTGGGAGCATAAGCTTTCGTGGGTAAGAACCTCACTTCTTCAGATGCAAGTAATGGAAATCTCCAGAGGCAGGTAATGTCCCCTGTGAGCCCTACACCATTTAAGCATGATATACTTCATCCAATGGGTCACCTCTCTGGGGCCTGATTCCCACTTACACTAAGACCCCTTTACAATATTCAGCCGGTGTCAAGGGTCCTTCAAGTGTGTGGCACCCTAAATCACACCCACTTTTGTGCTGCCAGAGTGGAGTAAAGGGTCATTAATGTAAATGAGCACCTTGTTCTATAAGACTGAGACCTAAAACCAGATCTCTGTTACACTCTGAATGAAAAAAATCTTTTAAAATTAGTCAGATTTTGGTTCAGGACCGTTGATCGCTCCCAAATGAATGGGTAGTTTTTTCCAGGCTAATGACTAGAATTAGTTCAGCGTGTTAATAAGCATTCCTCGCGTCTCGTCGTGAGTTAGACAGAACAGAACAACAAGGGTGTGTGAGTTCTGATTCTTTCTGGATGATAAATTTAAAAAAAACACCAGAGGAAAATGTCTCCTAGGAAGTGCCAGGACAGCCCTCCTGAAAATCTGTTCCATATTCTCTGCATGAATCCATTCTCCAGCTGGTGAAGGCATAATGCTTCCCAGCTCCGAAGAACCAGACGGGCTTACCATGGTTTGAAATCTACTGTGGACAGGATCTTTGTGCAAATCATGTACTTTCCCATAGCTGGGGCATCCGTCCATCACTTCTCCCACCTTCCCCTGATAGTCTAGTAAGGATTGTTGAGATACTAAAGCCTTCATGTCATGCCTGATCCAAAGTTTGTTGAAGTAAATGAGAGTCTTTTCTTGGATTTCAATGGACTTTGAGATTGCGGGGAAGGGGCATAATTTTTGCAAGAAACAACTTGTAATTTCCCTGAAGTCCATGGAGACTGTGATTTTTGCCAATAAGATGATGTTTCTGCTTCCATTCTTGGTAAGGAGACTGACAGCTGTATGCTAGAAGGTCTCCTCCTATCCATCGTCTACTATATTTCCCTTCACTCTTCATTTGCAATTCAGGATTTTGGAGCTTGCCAACAATACAGTACAAAAATCAATATTAAAATTCAAGAACCACTGTTTGTGCAAAGCAACAGTCACTTACGGCTGCATTCATTGGGGCTGTTTGGCTTTCCGGTATACATATTCAGCAATGCAAATGTAAAACCGACACAGAATTCTGCAGGAAGCAACAAACCCATATAGTCATAAAATCATAGTCTGCCTTACAGTGGTTAATTAACAGGCTGAAAGGAAGGTTATCTGGAGCAAAAAGTGATTTTTTTCCCTCCTCCCAGTTGAAGGTTTTTCTGAAATCGCAGTTTCTTTCTCTCTCTCTTTCTTTTGGAGAGTTATGTTTGTTACATATGAATTTGCATTTTTTAAGAAGTGCAATAATTAGAGATTGTAATAGTAAATAACACCAATAATTAATCAATTAATTAATATCTGCTAATATTTTGTGCTTTCCATCCAAAGCCTTTGACAAACATTGGTTCGACAATGGTTACACAGTAGGTGTGCTGTACTTGCTACACTAATAATCATCTCTTTGTTAGGTCATGATCCCTCCAGTCTTTATGTTGTATCCATCTGTTGTCTCTTCAGATATACTTAGTTTGTAAACTCAAAGGTAGGTACTATCTCTTTGTTGTGGGTATACATCGCCTAGTGGAATGGGTCCCTCATCCCTGACTAAGTGCTACACCAGTATAACATAATAAAGAAGGGAACCCTAAGGTAAGTGAATACGTAGCCAATGGTTGCTCTGGCTTAAATCACCACATTAATCATTCCTATTGCTCTCCTGCTCCAGCCGGCTCAGCTGAAGATGAGTTCTGTACTTCTGATGCTCTTGGTATCCACTGTGAATGCTGGCACCTTACTAGAAAAGGGCTCGCTGAGATGGGAAGCCCGGCGGCTTTCATGCGTGCGATGTTGTGGGCCTTCAGAAGAGCCAGTCTCCGTCGCCTCTTCACGATCCACTAGGATGAGCTATGACCCCGCCTATTCAGTGCCCAAAGTCCAGCCCACAATAGATATCACCATCCTGAAAGGTGAGTCAAGCCCAGGACCACACTTTGTGAATTTACCATCACTTCACAAGCCATGTTCCTCCTCCAAGGTGGAAAACACCCATCTCTTAAGAACCGAAACTGCTCAGTCTATATAGTTTATCCAAGAGAACGTCAGGAGGCAACTTGGTTACAGTCCATGAACTCCCGATATGTGGAAAAGATGTCTGAGAGTAGACAGCTTAGTAATCTACCGGGAGATGGCTGGATGAGCTCCAATGGCAGGAAGCTAAAGCTAAACAAATTCAGGGTAGAAATAAGGCGCATATTTTTAACACCAAGGGTGATTACCATTGGAACAACATATCTAGGGACATGGTAGACTCTCCATCAAAATTGAATAACTTTCTAAAAGGCATGGTGTAGCTCACACAGAAGTTATGGGGTTGATACAGGAATGATTGGCTGAGTTTCTATGTTATGCAGGTCAGACTAGATGGTAATAATGGTCCCTTTTGGCATTAAAACATATGACTCTATTAAACTTGGAGGTTTTGTTCTCTTTCCCATCAACCACACCCATAGTTTCTTCTTCTCTGCCACAGAAAGACTATGTGTGTAACTGTATACAGGTAAATGATATGGGTCGGGTTTAGGGCCCTACACTGTTTACACATTGAAGCCAGGGTTTCATCCCATGTTTTTATCCCTTCGTTCCTGCCATCCTCTCTCCTACACACCCTAGGTAGCTGGTCACCTAAATCATAAATCACTCAGCTAAGGGGTGAAAATTCAGTTTCTGCAAATATTTGTACCAAAAAAACCCCAAAAAATCATGTTGCTCCCATGAATGAAAAGACGTATGGACATGCTAAAAACAAATTCTACGTAGTGGTTACCAAAGGTTCCATGAATAATTGTTCTCATTATCCTTCCTATTAACATAGATTATAGCTCAATTAATGAAAAAATTAGGACTCTAGCCTTCTGTCCCTGGCAAAATGTCCATGTGCTCTTGAATTTTATATCAGAGGGGTAGCCGTGTTAGTCTGGATCTGTAAAAAGCGACAAAGAGTCCTGTGGCACCTTGTAGACTAACAGATGTATTGGAGCCTAAGCTTTCGTGGGTGAATACTCACTTCGTCAGATGTATGTATCAGACGAAGTGGGTATTCACCCACAAAAGCTTATGCTCCAATAC